ATTTTTTTGAAAGACAGCGTTAGGTTATTTTATAATATATATTATAAAATATATATATATTATTTTATAATATATAAATATTCCACATTTGCCCCTCCATTAATATTAGTTTGTCGAGCTCCAGCTGTACTGTTTTCTCCCAGACGGTGTAACTCAACGTTCTATTTCTATAAGAGTAAAAGCTTTGTGCTCTGTTGGCATACACAACGACATTACTAGGATAGTTTTGCTTACAATTTCCATTCACGATACCATTCAGTATCGTTTGACGTCATCGTTTCTTTTTTTTTGAATTTACGGATACACAAGAACTGTGACATATATTCTGTAGCGTTTCGAATAAATTTGTATATCAAAGGTCACAGAATATTAAAAATAAAATAAAATATGATAGGCAAGTAAGTTATTGTTATACACAGGAAAATGGTAGGCAGAATATGTCATTGGTGTCAGTTAATGAAAAAGAAGAGTGGCAGATAAGATGAGAATTTCAGTAATTCCAGTTAAAATGGAATACCCATTCTCCTTACTTTCATACACACCACCGAAGGATGAAGGAAATATTTTCATTTTGTCAAACCGTTTGCAACGACCAGAAGGAAGCGTCAGAGACAACACGAAGTATATATATTCTTGGTCAGCATCAAACTTTGAATCGATTTTAGCACGTCCGCCAGTCCGGTTGTCCGCCTGTCCGTCTACATAATGTTTGCTGCAAACATTCTCCTGGCTGCAAAAACCAAGCTATCGAACAAATTGGTCTACAGCACTGCGTAAAGTGGTAACTGTTTTTTAAAAAGAATAAAAAATTGATCTTTTTGTTCATTTTCACATAAACTTCAACAAGGGGATCTACAAAAATTTGACCATATATGCTATGGGCGATGGTTTAATACCTGAGCAAAAATGAAATAAATCGGACACGCTTACTTAATGTTACAGTGTCATAATTTTATTGCTTTTTCAAAACTTTTATAACTCACGGAGCCAAGGTTCAAAAATTCCATAAAATTTATAAACTCTTTCCCGTTTTGAAATTTCGAATTCGCCTAAGCATGTCGGCCTGCCCAATTAAGTAGTACCTGTGGTAAATATTCTGTCATTGGCGAAAATGTAGATATTGCCGATAAGTTTGCAAAGGCCCTTGAAAGTTACCTAGAACATAGCCCCAAAATCCTTTATGTTTAAAATAGAAAAAATCGGCCACGCCATTCCGTAATATAAAGCATGAAAACTTGGCTCTTTTTTGTCTTTGTAGAATAACGGAAAGGGGTATAAAAGATTCGGTCACAACCGAATATAATTTTCTTACTTGGTAAGATCACTGAAGCGCGGAAGAGCTAATAATCCAACGACAGTGCGAAGAGTTTCACTATATAATGCAAAATTGGGAACGTGAAAATTTATTTATTTTAGCAGTCACGTATAATTCAGGTAACTTCCTGCAGTAGCGTCCGCGTACAATTGCAGCGTAGGGGTTCCGTCGGTCTGCTTTGACCAATACTCTATCAGAATGGAGTAAAACCGTAATAACGGCCTGCCGTTAGGCAAAGTCGCAAGGATAGCGGCTTGCCGGTAAACAAAGAAAAAAAGGGAAATAAGAGAAAATAAAAATCTATACTCATAATGGTCTCTCTTGCTAAATCACTCTATTATGCAAGAGAGAACCGTGAAAACAATCCGTCTGTGTATTTTGAGCATATTAGTTTTTGTGTCTGAAGTTTTGAACAAATTTGGTGTGTCAATTTGTCATGTTAAGATCTCGCTCAACGATATATAAGAGAAGAGAAAAGAACGGTTAAACGCGAGCAAAACAAAGAGAAAAGGACAATTCAAGTTTTGATGCTTTGTGCGACGAGTTGGGGTTTAAACTGTGGTGCTGTGAAAAACGAAGCGTGTTGGTTGAGGGTAGAAAGCAAAGCGTATCGACTTTGAGAAATGCATTTTATTTTGAATATCTTGAATAGAATGAAAGAACCTTATTACTCAATGAATAAAGTGTTGTTGCGAAAATCCCAAATCTAGTTAATTTCAGCTAAGTAATTTCCCTAAACAACAAATTGCCTAAAGAGGGAAAACTAAACGCACATTCGCATTCAATTAAATTGATTTTTTATATATTTGATTTTTTTTATTTTGTCACCTAGGAACATATCCCCTATAATCCCATATAGATTACCATATTCACAGTTTCTGCATTCGCGGCATTTTTATGAAACGTATCCCCCATGAATATGGAACTTTTACTGTGTTTACATTTGTCTAAAGAACAGAAAGTTATGCGAGTTTTGTGGAATGAGTTCAGAATTAAAAATTATTTTACATAAAAAAAAAAATTGTTAATATAAAAACATTAGAAAAGAACCAAAAAAAATTATTATAAAAGGATTTTAACATTAATATATTAACCAAAATTGGCAAACGACTGCCTGCATCATAGACTTAAGTTACGGAAATTTAAACACAAACCGAGAAATTTTGTGAATTATATTGCCTTTTTTTTCTGAATAAAAGAAAAAGTGATTTTAAGTATTTTTGGCTGTTTTCTTTACTTTTTCTTAATTAAGCAAATAATGCAAAGATAATTTAAATAAAAGCAAAGAAAAAAGAAAAGAAAATCTGGAGAAGTAGAATTTAATATAACGGAGCCTCGTTTTTTTTTTTTTTTTTGCTTCAATGTTGCAGTGATTTTAATATCAAACATCGACGGTGTGGATCTAGGCTAGTAAATCCCACCGAAAGCGAGTTTCAAAAATATGCATTAATAACAACTATGTTTTCTCCACTGGGAGACGCACATTTGACCGTTTTATCTATGGAAATTTCCTGACTTGCTGGATTTCGCTAGGTACGTCGGTATTCCCTTTAATTTATATCAGACTTATTGCAATCATGTTGTTAGTTCTGACTACTTTTTCCGTGAAGTAAAATCACCAATCATAAAAGTAATAGTGAAATTTTAAAGAAAGGATCAGTGACAACTTACATCCTAAGTTGTGATCAGAGTTTCCAAAGCTTTTTTTGGTATTTAAAAGTAGAACTGCATGTATACAAATTTCTATAAAACTTTGCAAATATCCTTTACCTAGAAAGTCTTCGAAATAGATCGTGAATTTCATAATTGGTTTTTATTTGTTTTCTTAATGCTGCATTTCCATTTCTATTCTTCATCAATAAATTCATCGTTACTTGCTTCTGATAACAAACATTGGAAATCATTATTTGCCTTTTATTATCTACATAAACTATATGCGATTTCGTTTCATTAAAATTTACTTTTTCTCTATTGGTTTAATGCATCCTTTCAACACTTCATAACATGAGGAAGAAACATCATTACCTGCAAAACGGGCTAAAATTTCAGCGCTCAGGACAGAGTGCCTGTGTCAAATGAATTTGTAGATAAACATCACATTTGCTGATTTCAGCTGTCCTGTCGGCGTAACTTTTTTAAAACGGCCATTGTAATGTGTGATTGTGTCTGCGAAAATGAAAACATAGGATGAAGTGTTTTGTGTCCATTACTAGGTATACTTTTTTTTAGGTATACTTTCTTTATTGTTTTCTCAATCATTTAGCAACACATTGCAATGGAGCTATTTAGCCGAAGTTAAATCCACGACGTTTCCAAGAAAATTTATATAATCGAAATACTTCGATCATCGGTTTTGATGTAATTTGTTTTTAAGAGAATTGGATTTATAAATGACAGATTATTTTCCCTATTTTAGGCCATAATGGCAACTAATGTATACGAGTCGCTAATGAGAAGTTTACGTTAACTGTACTCATAGCTACGAAACTGTATGTTGAACTAACTTGAGGGAACTCTGTTGAAGTAACTTTGGTAGAGTTTCAAGAAAAATTGATAAGGGAAATGTGTACCATATGAATTGATTGAAAATAGCATTTCGAATCGTTTCAACATTGCGGCTTCGTTGCTTGCGGGGCAAAAAAAGAGTTTTCTGTGGAATGTTGTGGATGGCGATGAAAATCGAGTCTACCACGACATGAGCCATGCAGCCCCGACCGAAATATTCATGGCCACAAAGTTTTACTGTGCATATAGACGAGTCAGCAAATGTGTATTATAATACGAACTGTTAAACCCGGATGAAGTTGTTATTGCAGATTCCTACCGACGTTAATTGAACAAACCGAATCATGTATTGGTGTAAAAGAGGTCAGCAATTAGCAGACGCAAAGCAATACTCTTACATGACAACGCTTGGCCACACGTCGCAAGAGTTCTCAAGACTATTGCAGTTGGAATGTTTTGTTCAAATGTATGCCTAACACGTTGTTTCAAAATGCTGAAGAAATACGAAAATAGGTCAATAAAAAAGTGATCAAAAAACACTCAAGCGCCTATTAAAGATAGTTTTTCTTTTTTACAATAAAATGCAACGCATTTATTTCTACCCATTCACCTATTTACATTTATAAATGTAAGCAATCAAGTTGACGTGGTGAAGTGGGTAAAGTAGATCTCACTTGGGTCTTGTTAACTGAAAAGAACAATCAAAACCATTACATACTCTAAACCATCCTCAAAAACTCAATTAAATACTCTAAACCATCCTCAAAAACTTGACATACTCTGCACCACAAATGTGTGGAGTATAAAAACTTAAAATTCCTCTCATGGATAGATAGGGAACATTGACGTTTAGTTAATAAATGAATGCAATTAAAAGCGAAGTCTATGATAATGTAATCGACGCATTTATTTTCTTTTATTAGCTGGAAGACGATCATTTAATGCGTTAAATAGTCATATCTTTACCACTACGATTCAGTTTCATTACGAATTAAGATTATAGACTTTATCTCATCTTTGTTAACAACTGTCTTTGTAAAAAAAGGCATACTTATGTTATAGGTGATGAACTTAAAGATTACAATGGCTTCGTAATAAAGACGTCTTAGAGTCTGTTAAAGTTTATTACTCGTATTAGTATCGATAATATCTTTTTACTATTGTTCTTTCGATTTAAAACTTACTTAGATTTAATGACAACATTTTTTCCGTTCCAATGAGAAGCCACATACGAAAATATTATTATGGTGATAACCCGCCTTCATTTAAAAAATAAGAGAAAAAGGAATACATTTCATTGATCCTCACTGAGTTATTTTCATTTTATACAGTCGTTAAGCTAGCGATATATAAAACGAAATATATAATTTACAGATTGATAACAAAACAAATCACAAATGTTATGGACCATGCCGGAACATACGTATAGACGGAATTGGTGTTCTTACCTCGGTATTTGCAATGCTATCTCATCTAAACTATCTGATGGACTCATCGGTGTTTTCTCAAAAAGACGTGAAGGTGCCAGCGTTAGATGTCCCGTTGAGTTGACGACGGAACGAAATACCTTAGCACCGCGTCGTTGACGTTGCCGTAGCCGTTGATGTTCGACACGTTTTTTACGTTTAGTCTCCTCAGCACGCTGAAGATTATGTAAGCGAAAGAAAAACATTGACATTCTATGCATATAAGCATAAATACAAAATATAAAGTTTTCGTTGCAGAAATTGTACGTTCAAGAATAGTACGGGATACGCGCACACACTCGCATACGTTGACAGAATACAAACAATTATTTGTTGTAGAAATTTGCACAAGAGCGCGTTGTTGTTTTGTTCGTTTTTATACCAAATTATTTAGTACGTTATCAAGTGGAATGTAAGCATTTTTCGAATTTAAGAAAGTATTTCATTTTTTATAAACATATATTTTTTTATTATTAAATAAAAATGGAACAGTTAAGCACGCATTGGCGCATAACATAGAGCATCAGAGACAATTTGACAAAATAACAATTAATTACACTATTATATCAGTTATTTCATTTTATGCCGATACTGGGAGATCTTATTTCATTTAAAAACTAAATATACTAAAAAATCGAAAAACAAAAAAAGAAACATGCATACAATTTCCAAACAATCTATTGGCGCAAGCAAACAAACTATGCTCACGTTTTGGTGTATTTTCTTTCCTATCACTATGCATAAACCATCATGATCGTGTGAACATCAAGATTAGGATAAAAGATAAGTCGGTAAAGGCGAGAAATTTATTGGTAAGGATGAAACATTGAAAAGGAAACGTGCATTGCATAATAGGAAGAAATACTGCCATGTGGTAGAAAAATAGTTCCTGCCATTATTTGAATTCATTTAAAAATAACGCAGCAGATGAAATGATGAGTTGGCGGTTTCGCAAACAATACGGGTATAGGAAAACTTTTGCGAGTTCTATCCCATTATCGGACAAAATTTAACTGAACAAAAATTAACTAATTAATTTTAAACACAATTATGAGCTGTTTGGCCGGCTCGGAGTTGGTTGCAGGAACCTAAATGATGTCTACCACTTGTTCTGGGTACCAAATTCCTTGAAGTCTATTAAAGCAATTTTGCTTAATACGCGCGATTTACTTATGTGGTACTTAAACAATCTCGCATTCTTAATTCTCATTTTTTTTATATCGAAAATTATATCGTGTTGTCAACATGTCGGTTGCCAAGCTTATGGGTGTTTGCAATAGTTTAGGAGTCCACTCGCAACCTGGATCTGTTCTTGTTGAGGATGTGCATCTGTGCTAGCTGTGTACATGCTTTTTTTCTTCTTTTTTTCTTATTTATTTATACATGAATTATTGTTTAGGTTAGTTTGTTTTTATTATTCTTTTTTCACATCTTCCTATATATTGTATACTACTTAATAATTACTATAAAATTTACAATTAAGATGTACTTAAATTCGACTGTTACTTTGGCGTAGTTGAATTTCATGCATAAGTAAGTAAATAAATAAAAAATGAAAAAGTGAGTAGAATTAAGTGCGATATAACTTTTTAACTAAGAAAAATTTCTTCGTTTGGCCAATATAATGCTACAAATTCTTCAAAATGAGGTGAGTTAAAAGATGAAATGAAAACAAATAACTCTTGCAAATAAAATTCAGAGTTGCGCGTGCTTTGGTTTTGTGATGTTACGTCAAAAAACCTTTCTTGAGCTTGATTTTCGCTGTGCAATCCAAATTAATGTTCTAGGATACATGCATATATGATCTACTATTACATAACAATTTTACAATATCATTTTACATATTTTGTATGCATATGTATACAATACATTTAAACATACATTCGAAACTTATTTGCGGAGATAACTCATGGTGAAATTTTCAGAAAAAGGAATTTCTTTTATTTGATTGAATGATAGCTTAAATTTTCAAGAATGATATAAAAATATGATGGCGAACGTGGCCAACGTTTAAATGGTCCACATATTTGATGTTCCAAAGGTGAAAGTATACTGTACGGATATTGGAAACAGCAAATAGGTTTCTCAAGAAATCTTTTTTTTAAAAACGGCAGGGAGCATAATTTCACAATTTTAATCCGCTTTTTTTTTATTTTTACAATTTTCAATAAGGTGATTTAAGTATACTTTATTGACAAATAGCAGCTTATTTTGATGGAATTTTGAACTTTTTTGTTCAAACACTCGTCAAACATACTGTTATGCAATTCACTTTTTCTAAGATACAGTTCATATCACTGGATCACGGATATTTTGTCCAAGAGAAATAAACTTCAAAGTTATTTACAATTATATTTCTTTAAATGTAGGATTATTTAAAATTTATTTTATACAATACTTTCGACTGCTTAACTCAAATATTCTTTTTCTACTACTTTGTCTCTTACAAATATTCTATTTATACACATTTTTACCGTCACATTACTAGTACCTAATTTTATGACTTGATTTTTAATTTGTTAACCTGCTTTTCGGCTTGCAGCTGCATGACGCCTCGCGAATGTGCGTTTGGTTTCTTTTCTCTTTAAGGAATTTATTATTTGGGAAAATGACTTAGTTGGAATCAACTAGATTTGGGATTTCCGTAACAATACAAAAATCGCCATTTTTAAAATCTCTCCCGTGTGTAACTAAATATTAGTTTGGGGAAAAAGAAATCCATTATTTTTATATGAACTTCAGGACTTTATTTAACATGCTTCGGATTGTCCGATTTGGGTCAAATATGCACCGTTTTGTTGTATGATTTGTTGCCATTTTAAAGGTAACTTCAAAATGCCTTCCTCATAGAAGTCCTAGTCTCTATATGCAAAAAACTCTAGCAGTCGATTTTCACAATCCTCCCTAGATTCCAATTTTATATCATTAAAGAAATTTTGCAATGCAAGAAAAAGATGATAATCGCTTGGTGCCAAGTCCGGACTGTATGGCGGATGCATTAAAACTTCCGAACCAAGCTCCCGAAGTTTCTGGCGAGTTACTGTAGATGTGTGTGGCCTAGCGTTGTCCTGGTGGAACACGACACCTCTCCTGTTGGCCGATTCTGGCCGTTTCTGGTCAATCGCTATCTTCCAACGGTACAGTTGTTGACAGTAGAGATCAGAATTTAGCGTTTGGCCATATGGAAGCAACTCATAATAAATAATCCCCTTCCAGTCCCAACAAATGCATAGCAAAACCTTCCTGGCCGTTAGTCCTGGTTTGACCACCGTTTGAGGTGCTTCACCGCTCTTTGACCACGATCGTTTTCGCACAGGGTTATCGTATGTGATCCATTTCTCATCTCCAGTCACCATCCGTTTAAGAAATGGGTCTATCTCATTCCGTTTGGCCAAGGCTTCGCAGATGGAATTTCGATCCATCATGTTTTTTTCTGTTAATTGGTGTGGCACCCAAACATCGAGCTTTTTTTTGAATCCAGCTTTGTGTAAATGGTTTAAAACTGTTTTATGGTCGATTTTTAGCTCCTGGGCGATGTTACGACTGCTAACATGCCGGTCAACTTCGATAATTTCTCCGATTTTATCGACATTTTCGACGACCGGCCTACCTGTGCGAGGTGCATCTTTAACATCAAAAATTCCTGAACGGAATCTACGAAACCAAAATTACACATATTGGCTGTTACAGTATCGGAACCATAAACGACATTCACAATTTTAGCCGCCTAGCTTGCATTTTCGCCTTTGTCAAAGAAAAACTGTAAAATGTACCGAATTTTCTCTTTGTTCACTTCCATTTTTAACACGCTGTAACTCACAACTGAATGCACCAAACAAAAAACAGCAAAAGAACTTTTTTTACTGCGAAATGTACAGTATGTAAATGTACAGTATCGGAAATTGTTTGATCGATACTTTACGAGAAATCTATCAGTGCAGCCATCTACCGAAAAAATAATGAATTTCTTTTTCCCCAAACTAATATAAGTTAGGTATGTGTACTCCTTTTTTTTTAAATTTTGCACGAGCTACTCGCCGTGCTGCTGTGCGAATACCGTTCCGGTGCTGCTCTTTTTTAATATTTTTCAATAATAATTTTTTTAATGCTTAAATATATGCTTAATATCATACTGGAAAATTTTTTATCTATTTCCTCCCAAAAAAAATTGTCGAAAGAAGACGCGTTTCTTGAGGCTATTATAATTGTTTTGCGATTATAGTGAAAGAAAGAAATTTGATAAAATGTTTGGTTGCATGTAGACGCAGTTAAATCATTTCGTCGGTAGCTAACGAAAATGCAATTTTATATTTATATTATGGCATCCAGATTATCTTGATTTGCTGAGTCCAAGAACATGCTCATAAAGCAACAAGTTGGTTTCAAGCGGGGCAGCAGGTGCATCGACGCTCTTTTACATATTGATTGTTAACAAGCAAAGCAATTTCCGAAAGGAGTCATGTAACAATTCTCTCCATTGAATTCGAAAAAGCATTTTCCAGAGTTGGTCTTCTTGTTATTTTAAGACTCATGAAATCATGGAATGTTAGACCCAAATTCTTCAATTACGTCAAATCATTCATGTCGCATCACCGGTTTAAAGTTAGAATTAATCTCTGATTCCTTTCCTCTAATGAATAGCATTTCGCAAGGGTCTCCTCTTTCTGTCACGCTTTTCCAAATCGATTTAAACGATATTAGCAAAATTCTTTGCCGTGTACCAAGAATCGAACATTGTTTCTACGCGGACGATGTATCCATTTTTACAAACGAAAAAGATAACACGAAGGCAATCAACGTCCTCGAATCTGTTGGACGAGAGATCTCCGCAGGGGCGAACTTGTCAGGGGCTAAAATTTCCATACATTTGTAGAAAGCAGATATGCGATGCAGGAAAACTACTGATGCATATTAATGACTTACCGGTACTAAACAACAAATATCGTTGGAAAACACTTTTTTCGGTTAAAAGCTTCTATTTTAACAAGGGTGAATTACATTCAGTACGTTGCTTGGAAAAGCCATGCGCACATTAACACTATTTCTTATCCTTTCATGGACTTTGAAAGATTGCTCTTTTGATATTTCGCTGTCTATGCACAAGAGAGAAGATACTCCGAATTACGTTTTCAGGAATCTAATAGCTGAAAAATCCAAGTAACGGTTGGAGTCTTTTATACACAGGCGGCTCAAAATCTTTTGGTCTGCCATCT